AAATCTAAGGAAAGCCGGGGCAGCGAGTGTAACTCAGGGTGCCGTGGAGACCCGGCTCAAAATCCTTGACCAATATTGGGTGAAGTTTGAGGCCGGTCACGACACACTACGCTCCACCTTTTGGAAGACCGTTAGCGGGCACGACTACATAAAGAATAATTTCTTCGAAGTGGCAGAGGAAACCTACATTGCGCAACGTGCTGCTCTCGTGGACCTGCTCGAGGAGGTGCGATCCAAACCCGTGGTCAGCCTCGACGCTACCTCATTTCGAGAGGGGGAGAGCGGTGGCCGAAGAGCGCTGCCGCGCATTCAGCTTCCAACATTTACCGGGAAGTATGAAGACTGGCCAGCCTTCCGCGATCTTTTCCAGTCGATCGTTGACCGCAACGGTTCGCTCTCGGAGGTAGAAAAACTCCACTATTTGAGGACGTGCGTGAAGGGCGACGCGGATCAATTAATTCGCAACCTTCCCACCACCGAGGAGAATTACGAACGGGCATGGTCCATGCTAATGGATCATTATGCCAACCAAAGACTGCTGGTGCGTTCGTGTTTCTCGACCTTCACAGCCATTCCTAAGATGAAAGGCGAGACAGTGTCGGATCTGCGACGGGTATTTCACGGCATGCTCCAGACCATGGGTTCGCTGGAGGGCATCGGACGACCGATAAGCAGCTGCAGCGATCTGTTCGTGCACTTGGTCGTTGAGATGCTGGACCAACGCACAAGAAGGGAGTGGGAGATCGAGATTGGCAGCACCACAGAGCCCCCGTCCATCGACGAGTTAAAGACGTTCATGGAATGCCGCTTACGATCGCTGGAGGCCCTTCACCCGACTTCGGGGGAGGCAGCCAAGACGAGCGGAACCACGTCAAGGACGGCACGGTCGCACCTCGCCCAGAAGACGGGCAGAGGCAAATGCTCGTTCTGCACCAAGGAGCACTACATTCTGTCGTGTAATGACTTTCTGAAGAAGACGCCTGGGGAGAAGAAGCAATACGTGGAGGCAAATAATCTCTGCCTCAATTGCTTCGGAAGGCACCGCCCGAGCTCTTGCCCTTCAACTAGGGTCTGCAACACGTGCAAGCAGCGGCATCACTCCTCCATTCACGAGGTCTGCACGACCGCGCCAGCGGTGGTTGATGCATCCACGTCACTCCACGTACAGCAGGGGGCACACTACGAGGACGAGCGCTCGGTCGTCCTTCTGGCTACTGCACGGATTTCCGTCGACGACAGGTATGGCTCGCCGGTCCCCGCTCGCGCTCTGATCGACCCGGGTTCAGAGATCTCGCTCATCACGGAGCCTCTCGCTTAGCGACTCCGTCTCCCGCGCGATTCGTCTCGTATCACGATCTATGGCGTCGGTGGACAAAAAACGGGCATTTCCAGGGGCCGAGTCACGATCACGATCTCGTCGCGAACGACTCAGGCCTCTCTCCGCTTGACGGCTCTAATCCTGCCAAGGATTTCGGCCTACGAGAGCCGAATAGCCACCAGGGCTCCGATCTGGGAGCATGTGCGCGGGTTACCTCTGGCAGACCCGGACTTCGAGGCTCGGGATCAGGTGGAGATTCTCCTGGGAGCGGACGCATACGCTGAGATCGTCGAGACTGGCCTATGCAAGGGCGCCCCACGCACTCCTGTCGCTCAAAAAACCAAGTTGGGTTGGATTCTCTCGGGACTGATCTGCGGTTCGGGGCCGGGAGAGGTGGTGTCGTCACACCAGTGCTCTTTCGGCGAGGACCTCTCCACCATGGTGAGATGCTTCTGGGAGCAGGAGGAACCGGCGCCGAGCCCGGTGCCACTGACGGAGGCTGAACAAAGGTGCGAGGACCATTTTGCGCGCACTCATGGTCGAACCGCCGATGGGCGGTACGTGGTGCGCCTCCCAATCGCCTCGAGCTTGCCTCCACTCGACGGTCGCGCCGGGCAGCGGTTACGCACGCTGAGTGAGCAATGGAGCGGAAAATTCGAAACGAACTCTAAAGTTTTCACGACCATGTATGCGGCCTTCATGCATGAATATGAGGAGCTCCGCCACATGACTCCAGTCAAGCCGCCCCTTGCAGGTAGCGGGGCACGCGTCTGCTACCTACCACACCACGGGGTCATGAAGGGCGACGGAGAGGCTAGCAAAATCAGAGTTGTTTTCAACGGCTCTTCGCGCCTACCGAGCGGTGACTCACTCAACACGCTCTTGCTGACTGGGCCCAACCTGCTTCCCGCCTTGCCTCACGTACTCTTGAGATGGCGCCGGCACCGCTTCGTCTTGGTCACGGACATTGAGAAAATGTACCGTCAAGTCCGAGTCCACGAGGCCGACCGTGACCTGCAGAGAGTGGTCTGGCGATCAGGTCGACACAATGCCATGCAAGAGTACCAGCTGAATACGGTGACCTACGGGTTCACCTGCGCGCCGTTCTTGGCAATCCGGACTCTGCAGCAACTAGCATCGGACGAGGGAGAGCGATTCCCGCAGGGAGCCAGGGTGCTCCGCCAGGACGTCTACGTCGATGACGTCCTGACCGGCGCCGACACAACAACGGAGGCTCGCAGCATTCGGGATCAACTTATCCAGCTCTGCACGGCGGGTGGCTTTCCACTCCGCAAATGGGCGGCCAACGCGGACGAACTTCTAGAGGACATCGCACCAGAGCACCAACAGCATTGCGAGCACCGTGAGTGGGAGCCCGAGCAATGCCACTCCACCCTCGGTCTCCAGTGGCATCCGCGCCAGGACGTGTTTGCATACCGTGTTCGGTTGCGCCAGGAGGAGACCGTCACGAAGCGTGTCGTGCTTGCGGAGACAGCGCGCTTGTTCGATCCCTTGGGATGGATCGCCCCAGTGGTGGTCCGAGCTAAAATACTCATCCAAGTGCTGTGGATGCGGCGCATCGACTGGGACCAGACCTTGAGCAGCGAGGATCAACGGACGTGGCAGCGGCTCCGGGAGGAGCTCCCCTTACTGGAGAACGTGCGGATGCCGCGGTGGCTGTGTACCTCGACGGCGGGCGGCGGCGTGGAGATCCATGGATTCGCGGACGCGTCCGAGCGGGCCTATGCGGCGGTGGCGTATCTCCGGGTGAGCGGCGGCCATCACGACTGGCAGGTCACCATGCTCCAGGCGAAAACCAGGGTGGCGCCGCTCAAACAGGTTTCAATCCCTTGAGCTTTGCGCGGCAGTTCTGCTGGTCCGATTGGTCGAGCAACTGCGGGCGACTCTTGACCTCCCCTCTGCGCCAGTTCACCTGTGGACGGACTCAACGGTGACGCTCGCGTGGATTCGCGGCCATCCTTCCAAGTGGAAGACATACGTCGCCAACCGAACGGCCGAAATCCAACGCGCCTTGCCGGGGGCCCTATGGCATCACCTCCCCGGAGAGGAGAACCCGGCCGACTGCGCTTCGCGAGGGCTGTCTCCAAGCGAGCTGGTGGAGCATCCGCTGTGGTGGCGAGGTCCAGCCTGGCTCGCGCGGGGAGACTGGCCCAGCCGCTACGAGGAACCAGAGCTGACGGACGACGTGGAGATTTCCGAACGGCGCCGCGTGCATGCTGCCGTCGCCACCGAGGAGGACCCCACGCTGCTGCGCTTTTCAGCACTGTGCCGCTTGCTGCGGGTCACGGCATGGTGCCGTCGTTGGTTGGGCGTTCTGCACTCTCGCCGCGGTGCATCTGTTGTAGGTATCTTGACTCCAGTGGAAATCGAGGAGGCCTTGTGCGTGTGGATTGGAAGGGTGCAGGAACAATGGTTCGAGAGCGAGAGGAAGGCGGTGTCTCGGGGCGAGATGTTGTCAAGGAATAGCAGCCTTCTCCGGCTGACGCCCTTCGCCGATGAGCGCGGGCTGCTGAGAGTCGGCGGCCGCCTGAAGCACGCCGTGCTGAGCAGGGACGAGCGGCACCCCCTCATTCTGCCACGCGACTCGCATTTGACGACGCTGCTGGTGGATTCGTGCCATCGGCGCACACTGCACGGTGGCGTACAGCTTACCCTGGGACTGCTTCGCCAGCGGTTCTGGGTCCCGGGAGGCAGAGCGACCGTGAGACGGTGCATCCACAGGTGCCCCACGTGTGTACGATGGCGGGCGGCAGCGCCGCGCCCGCTGATGGGTGATTTGCCTCCCCCAAGAGTAAGAGCGTCCCGCCCGTTCACACACACCGGAGTGGATTACGCGGGCCCAATCTTGCTGCGGACGACGAAGGGACGCGGCCACAAGGCGCATAAGGCATTCCTGGCGGTGTTCGTGTGTCTCAGCACGCGGGCAGTACACCTGGAGGTGGTATCGGACTATACCACCGAGGCTTTTCTTGCGGCCTTCAAGCGCTTCGTGTCGAGGCGAGGATTATGTTCGACACTCTACAGTGATCAAGGCACAAATTTCGTAGGGGCGGACGCGGAGCTGCGACGCCTGTTTCGCGAGGCTGGGCACAAAGGCTCTCTGGTTGACGCGGTCGCGAGCGAAGGGGTGCGATGGCGGTTCAATCCACCGGCGGCGCCTCACTTCGGGGGCATATGGGAGGCGGCCGTCAAGTCCACCAAACACCACATCCGGAGAGTCATTGGGGACACGACGCTCACGTATGAGGAAATGGCGACCCTCCTGGCACAGATCGAGGCGTGCCTCAATTCGAGACCGCTGACGGCATTAACGGAGGATCCTGAGGACTTGGCCGCGCTCACGCCTGGGCACTTTCTGATCGGTGCGCCCCTCAACGCCGTTCCGGAACCGTCCTTGTCACTCGCGCCGACGGGAGGTTTGTCGCGATGGCGACTCGTCCAGAAGATGCGTGACCACTTTTGGGACAGGTGGTCTAAGGAGTGCTTGCACGCACTTCAAACGCGACCGAAATGGTGGACGAAAAGCGACAATCCGCGTGTCGGGGACCTATGTCTTATTCGAGGGGACCTGACGGCGCCATGTAAATGGCCTTTAGCACGCATCACGGCTGTCCATCCGGGCGAGGACGACCAGGTTCGAGTCGTCAGCGTGCGGACGGCCAGGAGCACGCTCGAGCGTCCAGTGCATAAACTTGTGTTACTGCCGCCGAGTCACGCGACCGAGGAAGGGGAGGCCAGCGAGACGCCGTTAGCTCGCGAATAAAAATTCATGCCCTCATTTGTTACAGCCAAATAGTCCGGGAATCGTGGCTAACGCGGGGCTCGGCGGCAGTACTCTAGCTGATCTCGTTGGAGGGACGCGATTTAAATGCCGTCAGTCATCGAAAGCAAAGATTATCTTACAACCATAGAACTTGTTCTTTCGTCAGTGCAACTGACGAGGCGGGCGGAATGTGCGAAACCGCCAAATCAGGCATGTTACAAAAGCCGCGATCAAGAGGAATGCGCAAACAGCCGGGACGGAGCAAGGGCTTCCGGGAGCACATCTGGTCGGCAACCGACGTTTCGTGACATCAGCTGATGCCCGGCACACCACGATCACGTGTCAATGACGGTGTGCATTACGCGCTTGTTTTTTGGCATTTTCGCGATTAGAAAATTACTCGACAAACAACATGCTTTGAGAATAAATAGCAGAGCTCCCGCCCGGAGTCAAGTCAGTTTTTCTCAGTTCTCTCAGAAAAGATCTCGTTTTCTCGGTTTCGGTCGCTCGCGTTGCTCCGTCGCACCGTTACCTTGCCGTTCGTTCGCCGCGAACTTGCGATCACGACAGTGACTATATTGTAACTCTTTTTTTGTTAGTTTTTTGTAATTGTCAAAATAAAAAGTCTGTTCGCTCAATCATCTCTCAATCCGTCGACCCAACCGTCCGCTTTCGCTTCCACCACGACGCAACACCTTCGGTAAGGTTATTACCAAGAAATCACTGAGGTTATTCACAGAATAACCTTTGATAACCTGTACAAGATGTTCATTAATATTACTGTATTCCAGTATTAATTTCTTTTTTTTTTAACGTATACACTAGGGTGGACCTTATTTATACTTGGTGAAAAATTTTTTTCGAATTTTTTTCACGACGCCCCCTAAAGTTGTTCCATTTCGTGAGAAAAAAAATTGTGTAAAAGCTGAGCTCGATCGGACAACGGGAAGACGTGGCACAATCCTGTTAAAGTTGAAAAAAATATTTTTTTCACAAAACATGGGGAAATCCGGTGAAAAGAATTCTGAATAAAGATTAAGATGATTTTCTTAAAAAAATTAATTATTGATAGTATGTTTTTTAATAAATATAGTATATTTAAAT